TACAAACCTAAATCCGAATATTATTATTATTTTTTTTTTTTTTTAGTTTACAATTATTAATCGTAATATAACAATATATAAACTTGGTATCTGAAAGAAAATCCAAATGATCTTGTCGCCAGAACCATATAAAATATATCATACGTGTATATATAATAAAATAAAAATACAATTGATCTAATAACTATTAACAATGTAGAGGAAACAAAAACTGAAAATAATTTTACAAATTATCAAGAGTGAAAAAAAGAAATTTACATTTCAAAAATATTTATATATATTGCCAGTAGAAAGAATATAGTTTTTAACTATATTCTTTCTACTGGCAATATATATTCATTTTAAAACGGAAAACGAAATTGACAAATCAAAATTTGGAACAACAATTTTGTTCCATAAATACGGTGCTCGATAGTTTATGCAAAATTGATTAAACTTTGTTTGATAAAAGGGTTCAATTAATAAATTATTATTTTGTAAAACATATTTGTTTATAGCTTTATAAGTAAAAAGATCATTGAAATTGGACAATGGTTGTTCACTTTTACAACGAAACATAAAATATTATAGACATTGAGTTCGTAAACGTTAAGTGCTTTAACGTTTTTAAATAAAATATTTGAATGAGAAAAACGATTTTCAAAATATATTAAACACATTGCGTGTTTCTGACGATGGTAGAGATTTCGTAACTTACTTTTAGAGGTACTTCCCGAAACAATATTTGCATAATTTATATAGCTATGAATAAATGAGTCGTAGAGTTTAATTAAAGTTTGTTTACTTAGATAGTATCTGACCTTATATAGAATTCCAATACTTTTAGCCAATTTAGTAGAAATAAAGTCGATATGATACTTCCATGTAATATTTTCATCAATGTAAATGCCTAAAAATCTTGTGACCGACTCCATTTTTATTTCAGTTTTATCAATAAAAAGTTTAGGTAATTTATTTGGTAAAAAACGCTTTTTTGCAAGAGAGTGAAAAAGGATCCATTTTGTTTTGTCAATGTTTAAAGTTAACTTGTTGCACTTAAACCAGTTGGAGATGTGATTGAGTTCTTTATACATATTTGAAAAAGCTCATAAATGTCACTGTTTGACAGAAATAAATTTGTATCGTCCGCAAAAATGATACTCATAAGGTTAGAAGCTTTATTTAAATCATTTATATAGACTAAAAACAAAAGTGGGCCTAGAATAGAATCCTGTGGAACACCACATTTTATGTCAATTAGTTTTTCATTTTAAAAATAATCTCCATAGAAAACAAATTGTTTTCAATTTTTCAAGTAACTTTTATATCATTTTATTAATTTGCCATTAATTCCGTAAAATTTGAGTTTTTTAAGTAGAATTTTGTGATCGACCGTGTCGAATGCTTTTGATAGGTCAATGAATTGGAGATTTCACGAATGAACTGTGTAATGGCTTGTTCAGTTGAACAATTTTTTTTAATAAACCGAATTGATTTTTATATAGAAGTTTATTTAGATTAAGGTAATTGTATGTTCTATTGTATATTATACTTTCTAAAATTTTTGAGAAAGTTGAAAGAACTGAGATAGGCCGATAATTACTAATATTTGATTTTTTTTCCGTTTATTAGCAACCAAAATTAGTTTAATGTAACTTGAATATATATAAAACACAAATATAAAATAAAATAATATATGCTTGATCGGCTAAACTTTCGACGTCTTTTGTGCACTGACAATTTAAGGTGTTCAGCATGTTAAAAATAGTATAAAATTAAATTTCCACATATTAACAATAGCAATTTAATATAAATCACAAAGAAGTTTGGTAACTGATAACACTACGACTACTGATAACACATACCGACTTCCGGTAGGTGTTATCAGTAACCGGTAACCAAATTTCCATTTTTGGTTTAAGAGAACAAAGAACCTGCAGTTTCTTTGTTTTATTTAAACAAAAGTAAAAACTTGGTCGGTGCAGACCAAATGCTGACCTAACTAGCCAGACCGCACGGTGAAACGGTATAGTCACATCTAAACTGTTTTATTTATTAATTAAAAAACAACTTAAAATAAAATGCATATAGATTTTAATTAAAATTCTTTTTGTTATATACATACATACATACATACATACATACATACATACATACATACATACATACATACATACATACATACATACATACATCGTGGTTGACGATCTCCCACAGGTTCTCGATAGGGTTGAGATCCGGAGATTGAGGCGGCCAATCCATCGCCGATAGGTGGTTGTCTTGAAACCACTGCTTGACTACTTTTGCAGTGTGTTTCGGATCGTTGTCTTGCTGAAAAACCCATTTTATTGGCATATTCCGTTCAGCTCGAGGTAACATAACATCTTTCAGGATATTTTTATACATGAAACGGTCCATTACTCCATTGATTCGATGTATTGGACCTAGACCGTTAGCAGAAAAACATCCCCAGATCATTACATTGCCTCCAGTAGGCTTCATGGACTTATGGCAGTAACGTAAATCGAGGCGTTTTTCGGCCGGTCGACGTGCACGGCAAATGCCATTGTTCCCAATGATGTTAAACTTCGATTCATTACTGAACAGGACAGTTCGCCATTTCTACACATTCCAGTCAATATGAGATGTAGCAAACAGGTGTCTTTCCTTCTGGTTCTTTAGTGAATTCAGTGATTTCTTTGCAGGGCGTTGAGAAAACAATCCGGCTTCAACAGCACGCTGTCTGATTGTTCGGTCCGATACAGGCAGTTTTAAATGCTTTTGTATCTCAACTGATGATATCCAGGGATCCTTCTTGAGGTATCTGACGATCATTGAATCCTCTCTAGAAGTGGTGGAACGCGGTCTTCCACCTTTGTTATCTGCTGCCAACTTCCCGTAGAACGATATTTGGAACATAGTCTTGATACGGTACATTTTTCTCACGCAATATTTATCACAAATACTTTTATGTGACATTCCACTTACGTAATCGCCAATAATTTTCTTTCTTAGTTCCAGTCCAAGACTGTTGGGAGCCATTTTTGAACTTGAAGTCATAAAAATAAAAAAAATAAATAATCACGCTTCACAAGGCTTACCGTGTTACATTTACCTTGTGATGATTCAATAATGCTCTGTGGAACACAAAGTCTGGATACTTCCTTTAATTATTAAAAAAACACTTTTTAGCATTGTTCGATGTTGGTTGCAAATGTTTTGTCCAATACTGTATATATATATATATATATATATATATATATATATATATATATATATATATATATATATATATATATATATATATATATATATATATATATATATATATATATATATATATATATATATATATATTTTTTTTTTTAATTTTTGGATTCTTAAATAATAAAGCAGTTGGTCCTAACAACACAAACTGTAATATACTTACAGGTTCATACTCTATTAAAAGTTTTTAAACGTTAAATAAATCAAGGAATATTCACAGACCATTTGAAAATAGCCGAAATTACGCCTATATTTAAAGTTTGTGAATTAGTAAATGTCAATAATTACCAACCAATATCTGCCCTCTCTGTTTTTTCTAAAGTTGTAGAAAGAATTCGGATCAATCAAATATTCAATTTAATGTCCAAGTTAATAATATATTTAACAGTAACCAATACGGTTTCAAAAGAAATATCTTTACTGAACATGAATTAATTTTTCCTACTCGAAGTGTTACTAATTTATTTGAAGTCAAGGTTTGCTTTAGGCGTCTTTATATACTTATATAAGGCTTTTGAGACTATTGACCATGAAATATTGCTTTAAATCTTGTTATGGTATCAGCGATAAAGTTTTAATGATGCTAAAAAGCTCAAAACGAACAATAATTATGTTTGCAGATCATACTATTCCTTTCTTATAATAGCACGAATAAAATTTTTTATAACATTTTCTATCCGAGTTTAAAAAAAAAAAAATTACTTCCAAACAGTTTTAGACAATTTTTACCTCTTCCTTCTCCCTTTTGTCAAAATTTGTCAAAATTCCAGAGACACCTATAAAATTACGTCAACATTTGATTTTCTTCGCCCTCCCCAATCCCCTAAATAAGATTAAACTAAAAAAATAAACCTCATTATTTTAAGTAATTAAGTTTATCAAAAAAAGAAACATTGTTAACCTCCCCCTTGTCAACAATTGTCAAAATTTTACAGACCCCACCCCTCCCTTACATTGATAATATTCAAATAAAAATAGTTATGTCTACTAACGCTTTAGGTTTCATTTTAAATGAAAATTATCATGGAATGTTCACGCCAGAATTTTGTTGAATGACTACAAAAATGAGGAAAATCAACGTTATTTATTATGAACCATTATACGAGATTACAAAAATTGTTGACGGGGGGAACATTACATGACAAACCAAGTAAAAACTATTTATAACATGATTTTTATAAAAGTAACAAAAATTTTACAATTCATTTCCTAAAAAAGCTCATGACTATAAAAGTGGTGAATAAAATACCAGACCAGAATATTGAAAAAAGTATTGCAAGTTATTAATGATGACTATTGAATTCGATTTGGACAAAGAAGATTCAGTGATTCTATAACGATTTAATGTGAAGTGATGTTTAGATCAAAGTTATGAATTAAGATTTTAATATTAAACATTTTATCTTCATTTGTAACTTTTCTTTTGTATACAGTAGAATTATCTCCTTTAGAGTCCGTTAACACGGACTCTATGTGTGTATATATATATATATATATATATATATATAAATATATATATATATATATATATATATATATATATATATATATATATATATATATATTTACCCCTTTAGAGTGTTAACGGTCTCTAAAGGGGTAAATATATATACTGGCGTTAATGATTTTTTATTTTTAATAATATGCACCTTTTATATAACACATTGTGTTACTTTGAAGTGAAGTTTTAAAATTAGTTTTATTATAAGAATCAAGTTCATCAGTATTTTTTCTGCGCTTTCAAAACAAAAGTCTATCGTTGATGTATTTCATAAAAGAGCAAATTATCTGCTATTAAATTATTTGTTTCAGTCAATTTAAACTGTCTTTAGCGTTATTAGAGCCAACAATTCTAATCATTCCGACAAGTGTAAGTTTAGGCAAGAAAGCAAGTTTATCCGACAGGTGTAAGTTTAGCCACATATACCTTCGCTTTCTATCAAATGTTCATTCATGCATAGTCAATGAAAATTTAGCATCATTTTTTATTTGTCAAACCATAAATCATCTTGTTTTAAAGATTTTATTCATATTTCTAAAACATTAAAGTTATAGCTTGTCTTGTACTTGGAATTTTAATACTTTAAGCAGATTAATTTTTTAAATATCAATACTTTTGACAATTTATAATCAGGTATGAGATAGATTAACAGCAACTATACGAACCAAAATAAATTTTGAACGATCTTCCTGACAAGTAAAATTTGACTTGGATTAAAGTTTAACTTCGAAACTTGAGTTCGAATCATAACAATTGAGTAGAGTAAGAAACATTTGTAACTTTTTTATTTCCTGAATAAAAAAAAAGGTGGCTGTTATTGCCGTAAAAGTTGAACAATACTGGTATTTAACAAAATTTTCATCATTATATTTAATAACTTTGAACTCCACGCATTCACTTTTAACGATACGATTTTAGAAGTCTCGCCGAGAAAAGTGTTATTATAAATATATATGAAGGCTTTTATCCACAGCCATTAAGGGAGCAATTGAATTATACAAAAACAATTCTGGTATTCGACTTTTGGTTCCCGATAGTTGTGGAAGTGTTGTAAAGCATTTGTTGCAGATTTATTTATATTTCAACAGCAAAAGTTTTACAAATTAAATTTTAAAACGCTAAAAAATGTTTCTACATATAAAAAGTACTGTTTGTAATTTCACATTTCTACATTTTTTACAGGAAACGTATTTAGAAAAGAAATGTGAAAAAAAGCTTCTTTTGGACACTTATTGTGAACTAAAAACGTTTTCTAAAATCAAAATATTTTTTGTGGCTCAAAATTACCCCAATTGCGAATATTTACAAAAGAAAACTTTTCAGGTGTAACTTCTTCAGATATAGCATTGTAAGACTGTAAGCTTAGATTTGCCGCCAAAAGACCAGATCGAATACATGTGTCTGCATCGTATTTTTGCAAAATGCCAAATACAACGCCAGCAACAAAGCTAAAAACAAAACAAATTTTCAAAGAAAGTTTGAATTTTTTTTTTTACTTAATTAAAGTTATTTTACCTATCTCCAGCTCCACTCGCATTTTTTATTTGTAACGAAAAGGATTCTTTAGAGGAAGGATAAAGTTTTGCCGACAAAGCATTATTAACAAGTTCATATGAAAAAGGTTCGTCAAAAGGAGCTCTGGTTAAAACTAATACACCATGTTTTCCCAAAGTCACAATTAAATTATTTACATATTGAGCACACTCATCTGCATAGTGAACACAATTATTAATAACTTCATTTAAAGAAACGTCTTCTGAAAACTTCCTTTCTTGTAGAACTGGATGTTTTTTTTTTGTTGAGAGTGTTGTGTGTATAGCTTTAAGCTCGTTGAAATTCGGCGAAGCAAAGTTTATATGAAGTTTACTTTTTGTTGAGAAGGCAACACTAGCTTTGCTAACGGAAGTTGGTTCAAACCATACTTAATTAAAAATTATGCAAACATATAACATTCTGAAAAATATATTTAAATATATTTAATATAAATCGCATAACAAATTATTTAGGATAACCTATTATTAAACTATAAATATTTATATTTATTTTTATAATTTTAATATATATTATAAATATTAATAACCTGGAACATTGTGTTTTTTACACATCAACAAAACAGTTTGAATAGTTTCATGTTTACTGTTAGCATCCATAATAACTATCGGAGCTTTTTGAATTACACCTTCATACTTTTCAATCTAAAACAAAGAGACATAATCTAAAATTTGAAAAAACGAACATACACTAATAACATGTTTTAATAATGTAACAAAATTGTTTTTTTTTGTAAAAATCTAAAAATTTAGAAAAATTATTTTTGAAACAACTTTTCACTTTTTGTAAACAGCAAATGAATAAAAATTTTGTTGATTTATGAAACAACTGAAAATGTAAAACTCAACCAGCCCTTAATCCTTAAACATTAAAAAAAAAAAAAAAAAACTGAAAACACACACCGTTATCGGTGTCAATTCTTCATTTATATCCATATCACCAACACCCATTAGTAAATCTCCATTTTTATTTAACATTGCTGAGTAACAAGCAGTCGATTTTTTAGATCTCATCACCCCTGACGTATCCTGAAAAAAAAATAATTTAATTTTTTAGATCTCATCACCCCTGACGTATCCTGAAAAAAAAATAATTTAATTTCATCTTTTCAAATAAAAGCAAACATTTGCTAGAAAAATAATTTAAAAAAAAGGTTTGAAAAAAAAAACACTTTATTCCTTTATATCAGTAGTAGCATGCAAGTAAATTAATGCAGCAAGTTTTAAGCAAGAATCAACACTAAAAAATACATCTTTGTGTAAGTAGAACTTGGTGTAAAGTATACCAGTGTTTGGGTTGGTCTAACATACTCTACATAACATTTCTTTTTTTTTTTTGAGACCTAGCATACTCTACATAACATTTCATTTTTTCTATTGAGACCTAACATACTCTACATAACAACATTTCATTTTTTTCAATTCATTTTCAATTTAAGAGAGTGTAAGATAATAAAGGATAGCAGATGTTTTTTTATTGAATTTGCAATAAATCTTTTTAACAGTTATAACTTAATCAAATCTTTTTATTCCTCAATACGATTCGATACCCATTTTTAAAATTTATAACACTTATTTTTACTTCAACTTCACATGAAGATTTGTTTTACTCAACATCACTTTGTCACAAACTGTATTGTTTAAAAAAACAAAACAACCTTTAGTCAAGAGGCTGCATAAGCACAAATCGACATATGTGCGAACTGGCATTGTGACAGTGTGAAGCGTTGCAAAAACTGGCATAAGTGCAAACTGGCATATGTGCAAATTAGCATAAGTGCGCCAAAACATTTTGCAAACATTGGCATAAATGCGAGTTGGTATAAGGTGCGAAGCAGTTGGTGCGAAGCAGTTGCAAAAACTGGTACAAGTGCGAACTGGCATAAGTGCGAATTGGCATAAGTGCGTCTAACAAATTTGCAAAATTTGGCATAAGTGCAAGTTAGCATATATGCGAACTGGCATAAGTGCGAATCAGTTACAAAAACTGGCACAAATGCGAACTGGCATAAGTGTGCCGAACAAATTTGCAAACATTGGCATAATTGCGAATTGGCATAAGTGCGCCAAATAAATTTGCTAATATTGGCATAAGTGCATATTGGCATAAGTGCAAATTAGTATTTCGCATATATGCCAATTCGCAGTTATGCCAGTTTGCACTTATGCCTGTTTTTATAAGTGCTTCGCACTTATGCCAGTTTGCACTTATGCCAATTCGCACTTATGCCAATGTTTAGTGCGCCAAATAAATTTGCAAACAAATTTATTTGGCGCACTTATGCCAATTCTGCTAAAAATAACTGCTTCGCACTTATGCCAGTTCGCATATATGTCTATTTAGTAATTTGTTTGTTCTGTCAATAAATAACATCGCTATTTATTATTTACTTGTGGATTTACGTCTGACCCATACTGCAGTAAAAATAGACTTCACTACAAACACCCAGAAGCCTAATCACACCAAAATTTGTAAAACACAAATATTTTTGATGAAGAATTATGGACAGCGGTAATTGTGAATTCAATTCCAAAGAGCCTTCAATAACTACAACTTCAATGAAGAAATATTGAATAAGAGTTAATGCAAACGTTAAATGCAAACACATTAATTCTTCAGAAAAAAAATATTGAACAGCAATACAATGGTTAATTATTTTAGTGCTGAGACTACAAGTTTAAAAAAAAACACACGCACACATACGCAAGTAACAATAACAAAAAAACAAAACAAGTAAACCAGCTATTGTTTTAGCAGGCAAGGATAATTTTAAAATTGAAACGTTTTTTGTCATAATTCTCCATCTAGCTTTGACAAACTTTAAAAGTGAAAATCAGGTGAAATACAAAAATAAAATTTTAAGTTGAAATCAGAATTTAGGCTTAAACACATATTTTATAAGTTTAAAGTTACTTTAATAATTTTATGTTATAATGTTTTTTTCTTTAAACAAAATGTTTTTAGTGATCAAAAAACCTATCATTATAATATAATGATAGGTTTTTTTGTTTTATTCAAGTACCATATTTATTTTTTGCATGTTAGCAATCATCATTTCTCCAAAATCATCTAAACCAACTGTACTGATGAGAAAGGGATTGGTACCAAGTCGAGTTAAACATTCTATAAACAAATAAAAAAATAATTAAACAATTATAAAGCAAGGTTTATTCATATTTATTCTTTTCAAAAATTGTTAAGATTACATTAAACAGTAATCAGCGTTCAGTAATCTGTTGAGATTACATTAATAGTAATCAACATTCAGAATTCAGTTGGGATTACATTCAAAGTAACCCACATTCAGTAAACAGTTATAGATTACATTAACACTAATCCTCTTTATTTAATCAGTTGAAATTCATTAACAATAATCAACATTAGGTAATCAGTTGAGACTACATTAACATTAGGTAATCAGTTAAGACTACATTTACATTGGGTAATCAGTTAAGACTACATTAAAAGTAATCAATATTAAGTAATCATCTTAATGTTGATTACTTATTGATTACTTGATTAAATCAGTAGTAATTAACATTCAGTAATAAATTATGAACATCACCAGGTGCTAAGGTAGAAGAAAAAAATAACGCAATCAATTAAGCATGTTCTCATAAAACAATTTTTTTAATAAATAATTCATCTTGACAGTTATTTATGACCCACATCTAGGAACTTTTCTCCAAAATTTAGAATAAAAAGTATCATTTAAAAGAAAAATTGAAACATACCAGCAATATTTCTTGCTACACCACCATAGCCTTGATATATATTTCCAGGGCTTTTTGTTTCAGCCTGAAAAAAGAAATTGCATTTCATAGATTTTTATATTATATATATAAAAAAAAAAAATTAATATAAATAAAAGTATAAACAAAATTAAAATATACTAAAAAAAACTAAAGTTAAAATGAAAATAAAGTTTACAAAGGGCATTTATTATCAAAAAAAAAAAAAAAATACTTTTGAATCCACATTCTTTGCTTTTGAAACTATATCAAAAACTGATCCACCAATTACTACCTGAATAAAAGATCAGCAGTGATTAGATTTAAAACTCTAATATGTTAAAAAATATTTAGATAATATTTAATATAAACAAAAAAAACAAACAAGTAACATAATTAAAAAAAATCAAAGTTCAACTGTTTGATAATAAATAATAAAACCTCACAGGCCTCTTATTTTCAGTGTATTCCATATTGATCTTCAAAGTTTTCTAAAAAACAAACGTGTCTATTGTATTTGCTTAACATTTGGAACACAGAATTAATAAAATTGATAATAATTATTAAGCGTGAAAATACACACACAGATGTGTACAGTAAGATTTTGGTCAGTTGCCTGCCGGGCGACTAAGAGTAAAAATTTAGCTAACATCAGTTGCCTGCTAATGTTTCAAGTTAATCCCACAATTTTTTAATAAAATTTGGCATTCTGCGTAATTCTTGTGTAGTAATTTAAATTAAAAGTTAACTTAATTAAAGACCTATATCTTTATCATCAATTCCTTGTAAGATTGAATCATTTATTTATTATGTAGTTATGGATCATTTAATTGAAAATGGTGTATTAAATGAAAATCAAAATAGGTTTAGGAAAAATAGAAACTGTGTTACTAATTTATTGGAAACATTAGATATAATTACAGATGGTTTAGAAAATAATTATTTTGTAAATTTGCTATATTTAGATTTTGTTAGAGCGTTTGTTAAAGTGTCACATGATTAATAAGAAAGATAGAATCATGATATTTGTTGGAGATATTTAAAATGTTTAGAAGATTTTTTACATAACAGAAAACATGGAGTTATTCAAGGAGATTATGTATCAAACTGGTTACCAGTTATCAGTGGAGGGCCTCAGGGTTCAGTTTTAGGGCAACTTTTGTTCTTAATCTTTACCAATGACCTACCTAACAATATCACAAACTATATAAATTTGTATGCAGATGACAGTAAAACAATATTATAAAATCAGCTGAAAATCTTATAAGATGCAAGGAGATATAAATTATCTTATTGAATGGTCATCAATATGGTTAAAAAAATTCAAATGTGATAAATGTATATTGGCAAAGAAATCATAAAACCACTTATGTAATTCATGATTCAAATACAAACCAAGACATCTTGATAGTAAATGACTTTGATCTTAGTGTCATTATTCAATCAAATTCAAAATGGGAATTGCACATTAATGCAGCATTTTGTAAAGCTAATTAAATTCTGTGTTTAATTTGTCAAACTTTCAAAAATCCATATCTTTAGTATGCTGTGTATGAGTCCATATCTTTAGTATGCTATGCAAGTTTGGTGTCCCTATCTGAAACAGGATATAGACAAATTTGAAAAAACTCAACATAGAGCAACCAAACTCATATCATCACTTAGAAAATCTTTTTACAAAAAATTATTGAAAATAATGAATTTGACAACCTTAAAAGAATGTAGGCTGCAAGGTGATTCATTCCAACAATACAAAATCTAGATATTAATAGGAGTCACAAAATTAAAAGTTTTAAATATACTCTCAATCTACATGAACACACTTAATTTCTTCTTTAACAGAACATTCTTCTTTAACTTTAATCCTTGAAATAACTTAACAGATAACTTTACAGAATTTGACTAGGTTGACAAATTCAATGATCTTAACTTAACAGATAAGATACTTGAATTTGACTAGGTTGACAAATTCAAGAACTACCCAGATAAATTGTATAGCAATAAGAAACTATAATTTTTAAAAATCTAATAACAGTTGTTACGGTGTTATTGTATACATCTGTTGTCAGTTGTTACGGCTCTGACTTATTATTATTATTATTAAGTCATTTTTGCATATAGTGCCATGGGTAAGTAGAAAATATTTTCACAAAACAAAATAGTTATTGAATTATTGATAAAACTTGCTCTTTTAATTCTTAGCTTTCTCACACGCTTCTTAGATGACAGAAATTTTGTCTATGTAACCAAGTCTTCTACCTTTAGCAGGCCTTGTAAATAAAAAAATAAAAAAATTGTAGCACATTAGCTAAACTAACGCAAAACAAGTTTAATTTACTAATTAATAAAAACAAATCTAGAAGTATTATATTGTAAATGTACATATTGTGGAATGTCATAACACTACATAAAAAAAAAAAACATTTTTTGATGTAGTGTTATAAAAGAAATTTAAATAAGTTTTTTAATCAAAAATTTTTCTAAATTATAAGGACATTTCTATTTTCACTTTTTTGATATTGCACAACTTATTGTTAGTTACTAGAAACTATAAAATGTTGTATTATTATTCATTATTATTCCCAGTTAATTCATACCCCAATGTTTATAAATTAGAGTGCTCTTGTGACAAATGCTGTGTTGGTGAAACAGAACTAAAGATTTTGTCTTGGATATGCCAGCAACAAACAAGTACAAAAGGGAAAAATTCAGCTATAGCTGAATATTTTGAAATTTGCCAAGGAAATTTCCACTGGAATGGTTGCAATATTTTAAAAATTAAAATTTACAGTTTTAACAGTTTAGGGTAGTGTTGGAAATACAATACAATAAAAGTACCTTTCGTGACAATGATCTTAACTGGGATGATGGTGACTACGTGACTACATCATTTTGGAAACCCATGTTTCTAAACTTACATCACAAAAAACTCTCTTAAAAACTCTTAAAAAGAAGCTTTTATAAAGAACATTGTTTCGTAAACTTAAACAGTTATGTATAATATAACTTAAAAATATACTATAAAGAGGGTATTTATATTACCTAGAAATATTGTAAAAATAAATAAATATATATATATATATATATATATATATATATATATAAATATATATATATGTATATATGTATGTATATATATATATATATATATATATATATATATATATATATATAAAGTTTCATTTCAATATATAATTATTTACGATGTCAACATTTAAAATATACATATATATACATATATTTATGTATGTATGTATATATATATATATATATATATATATATATATATAAAATATATATATATATATATATATATATACATACATACATAAATATATGTTGAAACAATTTTAAAAATGTATTCTACAAAATAGAGTGCTCAATGTTCTTAAAAGAACAGAGCAATTATTAATTAGTTAAAAATCACTTAACAAAATTTTTTTTTCATTTTACACTGTGTTTCATCAATAAAGACTCATCAGAAATGAATGATCAAATTAATAAAACTTCAATTTACACCAAAATATTAAATTACAGGAAGTCGCAAATGTTTTAACTACTGTAAATTTTCACACATTTGTGGAATTTGCTGACACTATTATAAAAAGAATTCTTTAGAAATGATTACTTATGCTTTTTTAAAAAAATATTTTTAAAAGGGGGGATTTAGTGTAACTATTATTTGAGCTCACTTATTTTTATAGTTTTTTAGGAGAAACTTATTTTCGTGCCTGCACCTAGAAATCAATTCCGATTTTTTGTTTAACAAACATTCTTGGTTTGGACACCATGCTGTCAAAATATATATGGGAACTAAAAGATAAAAATATTGATGATTTTATACTGAATTGGTCCATCCTCAAAACAGCGCCTGCATACAACAATATTTCCAAAAAATGCATGCTATGTCTACAAGAAAAATTTGAAATAATTACACATGCAAACCAAGAATGTTTGTTTACAAATACAAAGCAGATATTTTTCTCATCGAGGTAATTGGTCACACTTCTAGCATAATGTGAAGAGGCCAAGTCAGGCCAAATTACATAATTATCATCACTGTGATGTTTGTTGATAAAAATATCCAATTGTATGATGATTTGTACACTGTTTGGTTAATTGCTAGTCTTGCAGGAACAATAAATGGTTTTAAGATTCCACAAGGGGAAATGGTAATCCACATAAGAATATTTTTTTTCAAATTTACTTTTGCGGTTGCATTTTACATTTTCTGGTGCATTTTTTGCTTCATCTGAGTAAAATCCAGCATTAGAATTTTTATTCGTATGTTTAAATGTAAAATAAGACTCAATGTAAAATCGTCAATGACAAAGTCACAGTTTCTGAATTTGCGACAAATTTAGAAACCGTGACACTTCGCACTTCTACACTTCAGTGCAACTGCTTTAACTGTTTATCAGTGCGATCAGGGATTTATTTTTTCTTAAAATAACCAATGTTTGCTTTGTTTTTACAATGTAGGAATGATCACACTTGAATTTATTTGCAATTTTTCTTGTTGAAGTTCCAGACTGGTTGTTCAAAAGAGCTTTCTGGCAATTGATGGTCTTATCAGTCTTTTTTGGTTTTTTGTCTGATTCAGGCTTATGAGACTTTCGCTTATTATTTTCCACTTTGCCATATAACATTTGATGGTTCTTTCGGAGTGATTAGAAGCAACAAAATATAGAGTATTTTGTTGCCTCTAATCACTCCGAAATGATGTTCTTCGATTTAGCGTTAGGATGCAAATTACAATAGTTGTACACTTGTTCAATTAATGTAGTTTCATTTTTTGATAACTTTTTTATTAATTAATCTAAGTAAACAAAACTTTCAATAAAAGATAACTAACACTTTATAAACAAAACAACTAAAAAAAGTAAGACTAGATAACTAAAAATTCAGTAAGTTTTAGCTTCTCAAAGATTGTGACAAATTTTTATCACCAGGGGTTATATTTAAGAAACAGCTATTTATCTATACTGAAAAATCAAAATGAGTAATGGTAAATGAGTAATGGTAAAAAGATAAATGTATATTTGAAATTTTATATCAAAAACAAACAAACAACTATCTAATCTTTTATTTTAATTTGACAATCTAATCAATTATAAAGTTTATGTCTTTATCTTTTCTGTATCACACCCAGCCTCTCCTTAAATTTATTTTTCAAAATTTTTGATGATCTGAATATAGATCGAACTTTGTCTACTGTGAGCAATTGTTGTGTTTTTCATTGGAATATCTATGAAAAAATATTTTTTAGCTTTTTGAAAAGAGGATTATCAGGATTATTAGTTTTGTCATTGGACACTAATTTCCAAAAGTAAAACATTATTAATTCAGTCATGTGATATACAGATTATTTGGAGAAGATTCTTATCTAGTTCTTTAGATATTCTGGAAACTGATCCTTTATTCGTCCCAGCATTTGTTACCTTCTGTAAAAATTTGGCGATATTTTACAGGCTGTAGCAGTCAAATAAAGCACCAATGGCTACCTTAACATCTTCTTGTAAATGATTGACATGTTTTCATTTTTCTACAAGCAGTAGACTGGTTGCTTTTAACTTCTTAAAGATCAATTGGTGTTGATCTTTAAGAAGTTGATTGGTATAGAATTGCATTTCTTACCTTCTGTAAAACATTTGGCGATATATCACAGGCTGTAAAAGTCAGTGAAACAATACCAGTGTAAATTATGATAACAAAATTTTTTGTTAAGATAACTTATCTGAAACTGATTTTTTTTTTGTTAAAAGTATTACCACCTTTTGAGCAATTTGCACACCCAGAAGCTCTATTACTGGCTTAAGCCTTGATATTGGCTTAACAACTTTTTTAGTCATCCAGTATCAGCTAGATGTCCAAGTAGCTCAGCTTGTAGCCATCTGCTTTCACTGTCAGTTAGCAAGTGGAATGCTTGAAACTCTAATAACAATCCCTAAATCCACATGAACTTTCAGAGAAGTTAAATGTGACTTCAAGAGACTTTATAACTTTAAAACTTATGCTTATTTCAATTTGGAAGCCAATATTTTTACATCTTTTTTAATATCAAACTTTAGACTAGACTTTTTGTGCATTACTATAATACTATCATTGCGCTAAATTTATTAAGTAAAATGAAAAGTCAATAATACTTTTCATTTTACTTTGTATTTTTGATAATTTTTTTTTCTTTTCTAATTTTTTTTTTTTTTTTTGGGCCATTTTTAAAGTTATTGTTTTTGTTAAAATTCTTAAAAGTAAGTTTTTTATTAGGGGTCATAAAGTACGTTGTGCTATATTTATCTTTTGAATAGAAGTATAATCTTTAATCTCTTGCTTGGAGATTTTATTTAAAATAAAGCTTTTTTGAATTTAAATTACTTTAAATATCTGCGTGGAAGCCAATATTACTTTAAAGTTATATTTAGTTTGATTTACTAAATGGATAAAGTACATCTTGTAAATTTACCTTTAAACTAAATCAAATTTTAAATTAAACTATTAAACATTAAAAATCCAACTTTAAATTAAACTAAACCAAAACAAAAAATTACTCAACAATTAAATTTACTTAATATACTCAAAGACTCGCAAAAATTAGCCATATAAATGTTTCTATTTATATCTTATATGTTGTTAACACACAATATAGGTTTCTAACTAAAAATTATTTCAACAAGAAATCCCCAATAAAACATAAAAAACACAATATTATATTTTAAAATTTTATTTCAAGCGATATCAAGATCAAACATTTTCTATAAATACGCAAGTTGTTTTTAGGAATTTTATTTAAAAGAAATCTATTTGAACAAAAGAATTTTAGTCTTACCCAGTACTGTAGCTAACTTTCAGCAATGATTCTCGCTATGCTGGGTTATACCCAGCATAGTGAGAATCATTGCTGAAAGTTAGCTACAGTAACTACAGTAATCATAAAAATAAAAAAAATAAATAAATAAAAAGTAGCTACAGTAGCAATATCAGATTTAGAACATTTAGTGAGGAAGACAATTTTATTTAAATCGTAAATGTTTTGAATAGTTCATTATATTTTGTCTCTTGAAAATAGTTTTAAAAGTAGAGACATTTTATTGCAAACATTAAACCAATTATTGCAAAAGTTAATGTTAAAGTTAATTAAATTATAAAAAATTAAAATTAATAAACTAATTTACTTTTGTTTAAAGTATTTTTTTTTCCTAAAAAAATATTTCAAGCATATTCTTCAACTTAAGCAAATATAATTTGATTTATTTAACCAAATTATTTTGTTTCACTTTTTATTGCAAAACAATTTGAATAAAAAAACTGAGTGAAAACATCAATTTAAAAACCATTTGAATTAAAAAATTAATTATACTTAAATTTTTAATAGTACGCTAGATCAAGAAACAATAAATTATAAAAAAAGGCGGTTTCTAATGTTTTTTTGCTTTGATCTTACTTTTTTGTTCTATAGATTTTAGACTCGTATGGTCTATAGGCATGTTTTTGCACAAATGTGAAGTTAAAAGTTTTATAACAATAATGTTTCAATTTATTAATTAGAAAAATTCAATTTGTTTACTTCTTTTTATTTTAAACCCGTTTTATGTTATTAAGGTTATAAACAGTATGAAACAGTGTCACAAAGTTGTTTTACATTGACACAAGCACTTTATATTGTTAAAACAACTTTGCAGTTTGTTTTACTGTTATTTTAAAGCTTTTTACAATAACAATTAAACACTCTTTAAAAATAACATGTGCACAAAAAATTTTTCTTTTGTGGCGATTAGATTTTTTGCGTTAATTCAAGCCCTGTACACACATTATAATAAGAAAAAAAATATATATATATATAACATTATTATAGTTATAACATACTTTTTTTTGTTCACTGTTGTCTGAGATGCAACCATGCTTGTTTACTATTGAAGAGTAAGATTTTGCTATTTGAGCACCAACTTTTGCATTATTTTCTATCAGCATAATATCTGGAAAAATTATTAGTAAAGAAAATCAAATATAGTTTTGGTATTTAACTAAATTTAATATTTGCTAAATATGTATTGCATGTATACATATATATATATATATATAGATACATTTAAGTTAGTAGTGCTAGTCCACATCTAATCTGGTACTAAATTTTTAAATATATGACAATTAACTATTATATATCTAAAACTTTAAATTAAAACATGGAAAATTAGTAGAACAAGAATAATTTAAGTAGCTGTAATGCTTTGGTTAATGTAGAGTTCTGGCTTAAGGAGTTTAAGATTTATGTTGGCTCTGGTCGAGGTCATAAAATATTGATACTCTCAGGTGCCATCATAAATGGGAGGGATTTATTAGTTTTGGGAAAAGTTTCCTACCTACCTTAAGCTTATTGAGGCCCTACCCCTTTGATTAATTTTCACTTGTTACTGACAAATAAAACATTTTAAAAATTTTATTGTTTTATATTGTTTTTATCTACCATTCGAATTAGAGTTGACATTTGACAATGCTGACCCAAAAGAGTCTGAGGTCAGCAATTTTTTTCTGTTGTTTTGTGTCAAACTTGTTTTATATTTATTTTTGATTTATTTTTATTTTTGTTTTACTGATGGGCTACCTTAATAATCCTGAACCCTAACCCTAATTTATTTATAGATAACCGCATTGGAGTGTGCATACAATGACTGATTTAAATATGAAGAACATGCAGGGGAATGTACATACATCAAGAAGTGTAAATAGAAATAACAGTAGGTAGCCTACATCAGGGATTGCAATACCAGTAAACTGATTTACTAGTAAATCAAATTAAAATACACTATTTTATTATCAGAAATTAAATTGACTTTTACAGATGTTTGGTAGAAAATTTTAATAAAAAAATCCAAGAAACTTCATTTAGTAAGAAATCTACTTATCCATCCAATAAGGAACTACACAAATTATAAAAACTAGTTAAATTATAATTAATTATAATGTTGCTTTATCAACATTCATAAAAAAAAAAAAAAAAAAAAAAAAAAATTTTAAATACTTTAAAATGTGGTTGTTCCAGATTTGATGGTAAAAAAAAAAAGTGTAGATCAATGCAAGAAATGTTCAAAAACAACTGAAACTTCTGACAAAAGTAAAAGTGTTATACATGAATACTTTTGAATACAAAACATAATTGACCTATTACAAAGTGGTAAAACAGGATGAACCAAAAAATACTATAGCTAGAACAACTAGAACAACAAATACATTTACAAGATCAAACAATTTCAAAATATTTTATAAAATCCTTGTTTAATCATTTCTTTATAAAATGAGGTAATATTACCTTTATTTTGTGACTGGTATTTACATTATATTAAAATAGTAAAATTATTTTTTTTAATTCTACAATTTTTGAACTTTTTTAAAACAATCTTGTGCATATCATTATTATTTCAGAAAATTGATGCAATCCGGTGAGGGGTGTTTTTAAAACTTAAAAAAAAAAAAAAGACAATTAAAAAAAGAAAAATTGTCCAAAAAAATATATATACCAAAATATTTTACTGTTTTTTTATTTAGGGCGTTTGTAATTTTCCACTGCCAAAATAAATTCAAGTCGGGAAAGAAAGCAGATAAGATTAAAGTGAAAACAAAAACATTATTTGATCTACAATTTATTCACGACTTTTGTCAGTCATTAAATTAAAGAAATAAATAAAGAAATTAAATTAAATTATTTGTCCAAAAAATAAAAACAATTTTAAAACTTGATTTTAAATGTTTTTATTAAACTTTACTGTCTATCAATGCATAGGAAAGCAAGAAATCTAATTGCTATTTATTTGTAAAATATACTTTTTTTAATTTTTAACAAGTTTTTCATGTAAAATAATAAAAAGTTGTTTATACTAATATTCCAAAAAAAATATTTGGTTTTTTCACTACCCTCATTGAAATCATCTTTGGAACCAACGTTAAAAATTTAGCAATATAAAGGAAACAATTTCAGGCAGGCATCAAGTATTGTAAATACATTTAAAAAATAAACCATGGTATTATTTTATTTAGTTTCTTCCACCATTACAAAATTTAATAATCAAATAATATACTTTACAAATAAATAAAAATTTATTTTCTGATTTTTCTGTTATTTAAGTATTGAGAAAAAAACGTCTAATATAGCAAAAGCATTTTTAAAAACTAAAAGAGGTGAAAAAGAATAAATGTAAAAAAAAAAAAAAATTATCAGTTTCTCATAGTTCTAGAGTACATAGCAAATTAGTTTTGTAAAAATCATGAATAAATTGTATATCAAAACTTTTAATTGTTGTTATAAAATTATAAAATTGTTGTTATAAAATATACGTCTTTTTCATCAACTTGTATCAAATTCTGTAACTAAAAATAACAACCACCATAAAAAAAAATTACAAAAGTTGTATAAAATTTAAAAAAAAATTTTTTTTTTTTAAACTTTCTTTTTTCAATTATTATATTTTCTAGTTTATTTAATTAAAATTTGATATTTCGTTACAAAATTGGACAAACAAAGGTTGTGACCGTATTGTGCTTCCCAGGTGGACTTGCTTTAAGTTTTTAAATTTTTCCAGCCTGGTATGTTAGCATTTGAGTTAAAATGACAGTTTTACAGAAAACATTTGAGACAACCATGCAAGCATATGTATGTATGCATGTATATGTATACACATATACATATGTATGTATGTATGCATGTAAATGTATGTCACGGGTACCCTGAAGACCTAAGACCTTTTGTCATACCCCATGAAATATTTTTTTTTGATTTTGAAAGTTGTCCATTTGTACATTCCAAAACTATCTACATTTAAATCCTTTTATGAATTGAAGTTTAGTAAATAACATTTTTTAGAATGAAGTTTTATAAATAACAGTGTTTTTTTTATTAAAATAATATTTTTCTATCGGCCATTATAGTTGTTTACTTTCTGTAATTTCAACAATGCATTTGGCCATACTAATATTTATTATTTTCAGATTGCAAAAATATGCAAAAAATAATAAAAACTTTAGTAATAACAGCGAGTATAATAATAAAATTCTAACATATTAGAGCCAATTTGAAAATATAGAAACTATTTCTTAAGAAAAGAAAAGAAATGCCATACTTTGCTAAAGATCATAACAAGTTTTTAAAATTCTTTTGTATATGCTGTTTAAAAAAAGGCAATGATTTAAGATGCATTTAAACCAAATGCAATAATTCATGTCCAAAACAAAGAAAAAGTTATGAAAATCTTATCAAGAGATTTTTTCGGGAAAACTACTCTGTTGAAAACACTGATCTGCCTAAAATGTTATGTTATAAAAAAACTAGTGAGTTTAGAAAAAGCTGATTCAAAAAGCTTTTTATTTACTGTTCGACAAAGGTAAGTTTTTTCTAATAAAAATAAGCCAATAAAAACCAGTTAATTTTTTCATTATTATTATTTTGTTTAAAAACAATATTGTGTTTGCATAAAAAAAACTAATTTCTTATTACTTTTCAGTCTTAATATTAGAGTTATTTGAGGTGGGAAATGCAGATGTTTTTTTGTATTAATGGCCGTACAAATGGTACTAAAATGGCAACTTTTCCACCAATGGTTTCATGTGAGACTAATAAAGATATAGATCACATTTGCAGTAATGTTAATGTTTCCGCAACCAATAAAAACTTTGTTCTTTGCAGAAGTTGTTTTCAACTTATAGGAAAAGGTATTAAACATACTTGCACAAAATTAGCTAAGTAAAAGAATTTGGCACATATTGTACAATCCACCTCACCTGTAACTAAAGAAACGTTTTATCAACCACAATCAACAATTACGTAACCGATGAAGTAGAAATAAAATTTGGCCCTAAGAGACTTGTTGTTTCTGTTAGAGTAATTGAAATAAAAACAACTACAAAGCAAACTTCATAGAAGGTATAAAATGTGTACTACAGAATTCAAAAAATATATATTATTTTAAAAAACGTTTTTAACATTTGTATCCAATTTACATCTTATAGTTACTAGTATAGTTACTAGTAACTATAAGATGTTAGAGATTGCCCGATTTACAAGAGTGACTAAAGGAAGAAAATCTGTTGAATTTTGTTTTTCCAAAAATTTAGAAGAAAATAAAAATCTATTGTCTTTGTTTGATGCTGAGTATATGCTGATTCAGTCTAAACAGGATATCGGAGATAAGAAAAAAAGTGGTATAATCAAATATATATAGTTTTTTTTTTTAGCTCCAATAAAAAGTTCTATAAAAGTAATATAATAAAACAAAATTTAATGCAACATTTTAATTTTATATTTTGATTAAGTTGATAATATAAAATAAATCAACATCCTCTGAGTTTAAGTTATTTTGTTATTATTTAGTGCATTGAAAGAATTATTCCTGGTGTAACATGCAATAATGTTGATGAGTTTGTTGCAACAACTTTACAACATAGATCTCTTGAACCCTATAATGTAGATGTTAAGATTGGGGTAGGTGGAGGGCAGGGCTATCTAAAGGTTACCTTATCAATTACAATGAAGCCAGAGCATGATGCATATTCAAGTGAAAAGAAAAGGGTGAAATATTCTGATGGGTATGAATGTAAAGTTTTCAAGTTTACTAGTGTTCACACTAGTAATGGTTGTATTACCCTCTAATAATGAAAATTATGCAAACCTAAAAATGTTATTGGATAAATTAAAACTTAATTCTCTGGATTACTCTATTTCAGAAAATTTAAGGTTCTTATGCTGATGGTGGGAAAGCAGTCAGCAGCTTCAAAGCATCTTTTTCCATTTTGTATACCAGGTATACCAAATGGATGGCTGCAGGAGAATTGCAATAGCAAAATATTTTAGTAACGTAATCCTCCTTTATTGACTGGAAATCTTTCAATGAAGATCTTAGAAATTGTCAATATACCAGGCTTACATATTTTGCTAGGCATAGTAGACAAACTTCTCAAACTATTTGAAAAAAACTTAATTGAGAACACTAATCAAGGATTTCATTTTGTAAATAGTTATTTGTCGACAGTTAATCTTGCCAGAGTACCTTATCAAGGTAAACACAGGTTAGAAAGAAATGGACGCTGTCTGCGTCTACAACACAAGACATTTATAGTTAAAGGGATACATATAAATTAAACGTATATACTTTAGTTAAATGTAATATTTAATGTTTTAGTAAATATTTCTTTTTTAAAAAAAAATTTTTTTTAATTTTGTAAAGCCATAACTGTATTCCTGTAAACTTATCTTATCCTCCTCAATAAAAAAAAGATTGCTAACTTTAAAAATATTATAAATTAGTCAATATTCTAACAAGTTGTTATCAAAAATTATTTCTAAATCCGATCCACAAAGTGTCAATCCAATAGGACAATAAACAAAACAAATTATATATTGCCATTTGATCCACTCTCAGGGGTCTTAGTGTGAGCCAGAGGGGTAATAACCTCTAAATTAAACAAGTATTGTTGCTAAGTTTTCTCGAAAAGCTACCATAAAAAAATTTAAGTGTTGATAGATTTGGAATGTACAAATGGACTACTTGCAAAATCAATAAAAATAATCCATGGGATATGATATAAGGTCTTAGTTCACCTTCAGGGTACCCGTGATGTATGTATGTATGTATGTATGTATGTATATATATATATATATATATATATATATATACATATATATATATATATATATATATATATATATATATACACATATATATAAGTATTTTAAATAACTCTAGGAAAAGTAATAGTAGGTAACTAAAAAGATTTAAAAAGATACTTGAAACTAATGACTTTCCATCAGATAGTTGTACAACACGATTTAATATAAATGGTGTAATATCTTTACCAACAATGTTCTTTGAACTAAAAAAATGTAACAATGTTTACTTAATGCAAATAAAAAATATTTTGCTTATAAATGCATGTTCCTAAAATAATTATAAACTAATCAGTTAAAAAAACATACATTTTTGAAAGATTAAGAAGCTATGCGGCTTTAAAAATATTTAAACAAAACATCTGTCAACATTGTTAAAAAGATTATATAAATCTCAGAATAATATATTTAGGAAGAGTATACTATAGATATTTACTACTATACATTATAAAAATTGTTATAATGCCTAAATATAGTAAATCAGAAATAAAAACTACAAAATTTTGATATTAAAAAATTCTTATTTTTGATACTTATAGCAATCGTGTAATTTTTGGGTGCTAAAAAAAATTAATTGTTTAATAAGTTTTATATAACTAATAAAAACAAAATCAAACCTTGCTTCAGCTAAAGCCTTTTGTATTATATTCTCTATGGCAGAGCTATCTGCTGAAAATTCTTCAGGTATTGGCACACCAATAACAACTCCACTTTTGACACCAAGTTGGTTATGACAGTCTTAAAAAATTAATTTGTTGTTAAATTTTTGGATTTAAGCTTTATTTTTATTTTTTAATAAACATGATAGAAAAAATTCAAAATAAAAGCGATGACCGGAAAATAGAGATGTTTTTGAACAGTAAAAAAAAGATGAAGAAAAAGCAAAGAAAAAAAAGATGGAGAAGAAAATATTAATATAAATAAACTACCAGTCTGGATAAAATACAGACAGATCAATTTAATACTTATTAATAAAGATGCCACGAATAATGATTTTGCTGAAAACCAAATATATTTGGCTACAGTTTTGCCCAAAGTGTTAAATATTTGGCTGCTAAATATTCAGCCACAAATTGTTATCCATTTCTTTGTACATAACTAATGATTCTTTAAACAATGTAACATTTGCTCTATGCAACAAGGTATCAAACTATTCAAAGATTACAAAGATTACAAAAATAACCAGCTCAGGTATTTTTTGCATTTCTGAGTTAATTCCACATGTTACCATGTTGTTAAACTATTTGGGAAAGGAAGAGACAGCGTCTGAGAACAACAAATCTTTACAAGTGGTGGTCAGCAACAGTACCAGCTAAAATTTATTTATCATCTCCCAGTAGCAGAAGGTATAGCGTGAGTGTATTTTCATAAGCAGGTATAACTTGTAAAGAAAAATGCAATTATTTGCTATCAACAAATGCTGAGAAATTGTTTTCATTCGTCATAATTTACCACTGATAATAGATTATATTATTATATATATTATAATACATATAGTGATATAATCTATTTATGTGATTTTTTTTTGACATAATTGCTATTGGTATTGGGTGGAATAATTTGCAATAATACGGTAGAAAACAGAATAGTAAAACATAGCACTGAATAAACCAAATACCATATAGTTCAAATACTCATGGCATCGCTAATTATTAATGCTTGATATGGGTTAATGGGTATCAGTCTGGTGGGAGGGGTATTGAAAATGTTATCAAAAACTACATGTATGATTCTTATCACAGCCTTATTGGTTTAAATTACAAACTCTGAGATATTTTTAACAACAAACTTTACATAGTATTGGGCTGTTTTGAACTTCTTCATAAAGAATTAAATTTTTTAAAAATAATCAAAAAATTTTTAGACTTATAACATTAACTCAAAGCAAAAAAAGAAAATATATACGTTCACAATTTATTATGACTACTGTTTAATTTTTTTTGAATTGTTGATAATACTTTAGTTTTTTAATTTCTAGTAAATTTTAAAAATAATTAAAAAATTTATATATATAAACTATAAACTTATATAAACTATAAACTTTACAAAGAAAGATCTATACAATACTAAGTAACTTTACTTAACATAATCAATTGTTTCTAGCAAATATTCACAAATTTAACCTTACATTTGACTTTTTTTTATAGGTTGTAAATTGTAGATTTTAAAGGCTGATGATAATGATGATAATGATGATAAGCAGCAAGTTACATTTTATTAAAAAAAAAATTATTTAAAAATTTTAAATGCATTTTGATTTTTTTAAATAAATTGCTAAGCTAACTATGATATGCTAAATCAGTTTCATTTTAAAATGATGTTTTTTTATACTAATTAAACAACATTAACTTTTAAGTATCCTTAACACCAATATTAATTTTCTAACATAAGTCACCTTAACAACGATTTTACTTTTTTAACATAAGTAAGCTTAACATGAACTTCGATTGGCAATGTTTGACAAAACATTATTTTTACTATTTATTACTATTACTTTTTTTTACTTATTATTACTTTTTTTTCTTAAATTGAAATTTCAAATACTTTAAAAAAATTTAATGTGCAAATAATATATGAACATATTTTAAACAGAAAATTAAAGTATATAATGCCTTTAAATTTCTTTACGTACATAAACTTTTTATCTCTTATATTTTTTATAAAATTACTTATGTTTGAAACTATTATCTGTTATATATTTATATCAAACTTACTGTCATTACTCATTTGCACGTGTTTGACACACAGAGGCAGCTATTAAAGTCGAGTTAATGACAATAAAAATTTATTCCGCATTTCAGAAAATATATCTAATGTAAATTTAATGTAAATGTTATAGTTCATTTTAAGGTTTAGAATTTTATTTTTTAAGTTTTGAAAAAACTAAAACTGAGTTTGCTTAAGGAAAAGTGGTATATAATATGTATGTATCTATGTAACTATAGAAACTGTTTTGTATTGCATTTTAAAAAAATAAAAGATTTAAAAAAAAGCAAGCTGAGGATTTGAACTTCTCACGCTTTCTGAAGGTTGTTACTTGAGCTCTTGCCCTGTACTAGTATGGGTTAGTGTAACATCATGGTGTTTTATTTCTGTATTTCATATGTGTTAAAGTGCTTAAAAATCAATTTAAACTTAAAATTAACCTTTTATTTATCTTTTCAAAGCTGGTGTAAAGTGTACCCACAAGCAATGTTTAAAACAAGAAAATTTAAAACTACTTAATATCAAAAGAATAAGTGGGGGTTTACAACTATTTTAACTTCATTTAAACTATACTGAACCAAATGCGCAACAATGACAGAATTTAGAAAACCATCAAAATATTATTATACTCTGTGTAATACTTTATAAACCATCTAGAACAGTTAAACCTAAAAATGCACAAGACACTGATATGCATGCAGTTAGGTTTTAAAATCTATATTTCCTATTAAACCTTTATAAATCTCCAAAATATCTCTAAACCTGTCTATTATCATTATCATAAATAAAGAAATTATAGAATTCATTTATAAATCTTATGTATTGCATTTTTTTATCTATTTTGAGAATTACCAAATATATCTATACATACATTTTATAGCTGATATATTGAAATTGTATCTTAACGAGCTGTTTAAACTTAAAGAAGCTGACAATGATTTTATTTTAAATATAAATAAGTGATTTTTTATTTTTTATATTTTGGTTTTACATAGGTTTATGTTAGAAGTTCAATTATGTTTTATATGAACATTATTTTTTTTTAATGTCTTTACTTCTAACAAACCTGCAAGTAACTACTATTAGAGTTGGAAGCTACTGGAAGAGGAAAGATGAAGTTTAAAATAATGATTAACAGACAACTTAAAAGAAGGGATTGAATTTCAAAGAACTGATGTTTGAGGAAAAAAACTAAACAAATAAGAATAGAGTAACACGATAATGAATTTTAGTAGATAGCATAAGAGACGCTAACTCTTTAGAGTAGCACTGATTATATTATTAATAGAAAAGAGAAGCAACATTATGATGATGTGACAACAGTTGAAGGTTGGCTCCAAGAACAGGTCCAACTATGTTTACAATGCGTTTTTGTGCCATGTCTAAAAGAGAAAGGGCATCATTTGAAGATCTGCTCCAGATATGGCAATAGTATTCTATACAAGGATGGATTAAAGATTTATAGAGAATAGAATCCAGAGTAAGAAATTGGCAAGCCCAAAAAAGAGATTTTAAAACTATATATGCTTTTTTTTTTCTTGAACAGCTTTTTTTTTTGTTTGAAATTTTTTAAATTGAATAAAAAATTTTATTTTTAGTCCCACAGCTTATCAAGAGTCATTTATATTTATGTTAATATTACAAAGTTATACAGTTACTTATGAAGTATTTTAAAAAAAAAATTTGTTTGAATTATTGATTATCTAAAGATTTGTTTAACTGCATAGATGTCTGCTTTTTATTATTTTATTTCTTTAGTTCTACCTTTGTGTTCTACTAACTATTTTTAGCTTACTTTGTCTCCTGTTAAAATATGGTTTTAACTTAATAGACTCCAATGATTTGATATTCACTATGCTGATCATTAACTAATAGTTTGAAAAAAAAAATCAATTCATTGCAATTAAGAAAAGAACAATTTTATCTTCTGGTTTACACATAGATATATAAATTACTGGATACGGCATAGACATGCCCAGCCTAACAATTTTAGAAATATAAAAAAAAATAAAGATTTAATTACTTAAATCAAAAATTCATTATGTTGGCTTATATATCTTATACGATTAAGTTACTAGACTGAAGTCTGTCAACAATTTACTAGTATCGCAATAATTGAGAGACATGAAAATTCAATAAGAAGCTATTTTATAGTGAAGTATATATAGTATATATTGAGAAATAAAATTTGTAAAAGTACATAGTATATAAAATATTTAGTCTAAATATTAACATTATATTTTCATTAAACCAAAAGATGTTTTTCAAAAGATGGTTTTTTCAAAATAGGTTTATCAAAAGATGATGTTTTTAGAAGACAATAACCAAATTTATATACATCTTTATCTATGTATATTATATTTACTGTAATATAAATTTATATTTATGTAAATATTTGGTATATCCTATATTGACAAAGAATTAAAATTTTTTAGTTTAAGATAATTTGTTTTATTTAAATATGTAAAACCAGTCACATCAAGGATTGAATTTATACAAATTTTATATACAAATGTGTGTATGTATCTATATTATATAAATACACACACACATACATACATACATATATACATACATGCATACATACGTAACATAAATATATATATATATATATATATATATATATATATATATATATATATATATATATATATATATACATTAGTATTTACATATATATATATATTTACATATATATATATATATATATGTAAATACTAAGTAAATATAAAAGTAATACAAAAGTATTTACTTAGTATTTACATATATATATATATGTAAATACTAAGTAAATACTTTTGTATTACCATGTATATTTTTGTATGCTTGAAGGAATGCTCAATAGATAAACTTGAGCTATATAATATATATTAATTACTGATACTGTGGGTAACCACAGTACCAGGAATTAGCTAAATGCTAATATTTATAACTTATAATAAAACATTGTTACTCAGAGTTGAATGTATTACCACAATCATTAGACACAAGGTTATTATGACATAATGTCTGGCAAATCTGTCAACATATTTTCAGACATTTCCTGCTGACATAAAATATGTCCCACATATTTTCTATGTATTATTTTGACATTAGTTAATGTCTGAATTATTTTCTGCTAACAAGATATTTCCAATATATTTTCTGAAAACATATTTTGACATAATGTTATGCCTGAATTATTTGCTGTTTCAGAACAAGTGAAACTAATTTGATTGTAAATGTTATTATTGATTTTAATAATGATATTGTTAATGTTATTGCTATTTGATTGTCATTGTTATTGCTGATTTTAATAATATTACTGCTATTTGGTTGTTAATGTTATCAGGGACGAGCCCAGACCTTTAATCCAGCCCATTTTAGTACCGCATGAGGGGTATTGGCGCCCAAAAATTATTTTTATTTTTTAATTTTTCCTTTGCCTTTTTATAGAAAAAACAAGAAAAAAAATTTCAGTTTTAAATGCAGTAATTTATATAATTTATATAATTTTAATTTGCAGTAATAAATAATTAGCAGTAGTAATTTGCAGTAGTAAATAATGCAGTAAATAATTTTCAGTTTATTTTAGCTACCTTCAGGAAAATAAAATAAATTTAAAAAAATTTGCTTTTTTACGTAATTACATGACATAACTGTTCTTCGATTACTAACTGAACGTTAGTTTTTAAAAAATGAATGTTGTTACAAAACTTAATTTTAAAAACTTGTTGCAAAATTTTATAACAATAGAATGTATAAAAATTTGTTTTCTCGAAAGATAGAAAGATTTCAAAAAAATCCATTCAGAGTAAAATTAGCTTTTGTTAATTTGACAATTAAGAGCAAACTGTTATAGATGTTGATAATAAATGAACAAAAGTAAAAAACTTTAGTCTTAATACCTGTCGCATGAATTTAATGTTTGAATGAATGAATTTTTGATGTTGTAAGTTGCTTTTTTAGTTTACATAAAGAATACGAAAAAAGGAAACATAATTTTTTTCAGAAAGTTTTGTTTCTTTTCCATATTTTTTTTGACTTTTAAAATAATAAAAATAACAATTACTTTATAAAAGTTTTATTAAGATCTGTTTAAAAAAACCCATAGTAAATGTAATTTATTTATTAAACAAAAGTTTTAAAATTATATTTTTAAAAATATAATATGCTTTTTAATAAAATAAAAAATTATATTTTTAAACTTATGTTTACCGTAATCTCTTCTTTAATTATCTTTAATTTAAAAGGCGCCTTAAAACCACTTTAAAAATTTAAAACCACTTTAAAACCACTTTAAAAACTATTAACCCACAGTAAAAGTAAAATGAACAGATTTGCTAACATTTAAATCAAAATTTTAAAATTAAAATAATAGTAAATACTTATGTTTTTTATTCAAATAAAAGACGAATTTTGTTAATTTTACAAATATTTAATATTATGTGAAGTAAATATTGATAAAAAATTGTTTAAAGTATTTAAACATTTAATTACTAATTATTTAAAACATTAATAACTGCTAAAATTATATTTACTAAAATACTATTAGTAAATGTTTAAAATACTTTAAACAATTTTCTATAATTCTTTACTAATAGCATGGTATTTGCAACAAAAGCATTTATTAAAGACACATGTAAAGCTTTCTTATCGTATTTAAAGTAACATTGTCCACCAGTAAATTCATGTATTCAAAAAAATGCCTTTGAATCAACTCTTTATCTTAGGATAAAACTAAACAAGATAAACACAAATGATTAAAATGATGATTGAAAAAATGATGATTAAAAATCATTGTGGCGGCACCACTATAGGAGAAGGAGAAAGGAGGGGGTCTCAAAAACACACACATACCACTCCCTCAACGTTACCGGAAAAAAAGTGGTACCCCTTAATAAACTCTGGGTTCTTCACTGGTTATTGCAGAATTATTTGCTGTTCAGAACAAGTCAAACTAGTTTGTTGATACATTTTCATTTTATTCATCAAATTATTCTGAAATAAAAAAAAATAGGCCCTTTGAGTATATTTGGTTGAGAAAGTCTAAAATATTTCCACAATTAAAAATGAAGACTCTTTTAAACTATTAAGATGCAAAATTTCTTCTATAAATTTATCTTTTATTTCACAAGCTTGAATTTTTACTACTAAGCTTGATAAGCTTGTAGTTATGAGTTTTTAGTTTTTTAGTCTTTTTTAAGTGGCATTTTGATTTGCGTTGAGATTTTAAAACTTCTCAGAGAGTTGTTAAACCTTAGCAAATAAAGTTAATTAATTTAGTTTTTTTTATTTTATTTTGCTATTTAAAATCTTTAATAATTTTATTTTCAAAAAAACCATAAAAGCATTTATGAGATTTATAAATAAATTGTTTTTTTTGGATTAGGCTTAGTGCCTTCTTTAATATTGTCAATGTAAAAAAGGTAAACTTTCTTTTCTTTTTGGTTGGTCCTTACCAGCCAAAGCAAAGAGATAAATTATTTCAACTATAACTCTTTGGTAATGTAAATGAAAGTACAGACACATATATATATACAACCCACGGAATTAGGGTCGGCATTCGGCAACAAATAACAAAAAAAAAAAAAAAACCAAGCCAGCCTAACTGCCGTTCTAAAAGTGTTTAAGGTTGGCAAAAAATTGCCGACCTTGTTTCAATGTTTTATGGTAAGATTGTATCAAACTTTTTTTGCTAACCTGATGCCAACCCCTAAAAGATTAGGGTCGGCAAATTGTTGCTGACTTCATTTTTCCTGATTCTGAGAGTTGTGTGTGTGTGTGTATATATATATATATATATATATATATATATATATATATATATATATATATATATATATATATATACTATTTTTTTTAAATAAATTTTTTATTTTTTTTGATTTTGAAAAATCTTTTTATGTAGAATTTTGGACAAGTTTATTTAGTTTAACTAAAATTAACTTATATTTACAAATTATTTATGAACTTGAAATGTCTCCAAAATAACTTTATAATCTATAAAATGCAAAATATAACTTGAAATTAAAACATAAAATGTAATTATGTAATTAATATATATGTTATTCTTAACTAAATTTGTTTTTTCTGCCTCACTCTATAAAATTTGCCTGGCTTCAATTTTTTCTGCCTATACCATATCCAGTAATTTCTATAAGTTTACATCTCAAAGTGTGTTTGTACTGTTAATTATATTTTTGTAATATTTGTGTAATAGTTTATTGTCTAAGCGATTAGTCTTTTAGACACAAATTTAGAAAATAATGTAACATTCTCTAATAATGATCGTGTTATATTTTTATGAGAATTTGCAAATTTTGCCCATTAATATAATAATTAAAGTGTTGTACTTACTATAAGTATATGTTGGGGAAATTTGCGCATTAGTATAGGAAATTAGTATAGGAATCTTCCTAAAATATTTAAAATATTTTTGGATTACAATCACTTTCAAGATTTAAATGTGTTTATTACATTTCATGATAAATTGATCTAATCATGTCTATGTAATTTTTAAATTTGTCTAATCTGTCTATGCAATTTGTTAATAGGTAAACCATATTTTTTCAATGCTAAAGTGGTAGAATTATTGATGATTATTTCAATCTTAGTCTGCTAAACTGTTATTTAACATTAGTAGCAGTAACTATGGCAGCAACTATGACAACAACAGGCAATTTGATTTGAAGAGCTCATATGTGATGTCTTTACTACTTTTATCTAATTATAATTGCTTTTTTTTTATTAAATTCATCCTAATATGCTTTTTTAATATATTGCAAAAAGAAATACAGGGCCTGGATCTTATAAAGCACAAAGGGTGTGGGTCTAAATTTGGAGCAATCACTCCACCTTTCTATTATTGGTAGAGTGGCACTCTTAGAAAACAAAATATGTGGGGAGGGAGTGGTGGGAAAACATGGGGCAACAAGGCTATTAGTATTTTTGTAGTTTATCAATCTAATAATTGTAGATGTAGTTGAATATTTTTTGTGAACTTCATTTTCTTTAAATATTTGTGTGTGTGTGTGTGTGTGTGTGTGTGTGTGTGTGTGTGTGCGTGTATGTGTGTGTGTGGGTGTGTGTGGGTGTGGGTGTGTGTGAGTGTGTCTATATATATGTGAGTGTGTCTATATATATATATATATATATATATATATATATATATATATATATATATATATATATATATATATATATATATATATATATATATATATATATATATATATATATATATATATATATATATATATATATATATATATATATATATATATATAGTAACTGTAAATAAAAAATTAATAAATAAAAAATTTATTTTGTAAAATGATTTTAATTTTAAATTTTGTAGAAAAGAAATATATATTTTCAACAATTCAAACAAAGAAATATATATTTTCAACAATTTATGCTTTTTTTAATTGTCAAAAAGTTTTATATTTTGTTCCTTTTCTTAATAATTGATGTTTTGCTAATTGTAAATATATATATTCTTATATAAGTAAATATATATGCTTTTATTTTGCATTTTATTATTTTGTTACAAGCACCTCTTGATTTAAAATATTAATTACTTTTAGTTAAAATAACTTTTTTCACATTAATGAGAGAAATAAATTTTATTATGACTATATTTTTAAAAAAAACCAGTGGAAATGTCACACAATTTTCATCATGTTAGATATACTTACGTTATCAATGTGTTCAAGTAAAGGATGTAAACCTAGATTTCAACAACAACAACAACAACAGCAAGAAAAACAACAACAATAATAATCATACTAAAAATAATAATACATGACAAAAAATTTAACATGAACTTACAAAGCATTTTAGCAATATCTTCAACATTGTCTAGACACATAGGTGCCTGTAAAAAAAAAACTAGTAAGAAAGAACTAAAGAAAACAGCCAGTAATAGCGCATTATGAATCAATCAACATGTATAAATACTTTAAAACAATTTTTACCATATGCCCACTGTCAGAACAGTAGAATGCTGGGAATGTTTTAGATTTTCCATACGTTATTACTGGTACCCCAAGAGTTTCCTTGAAAAGAAATGAAAACAGTAATTGATGAAAAAATTAACTTTAAAACTTTTTTTATATCAAAACTTATTAACTTATTACATTATCTATTAACAAGTAAAATTATGCGACTACATAAAAGTAACAATATGTAAAAATATCATAAAATCAGCAATACAAACCACTAAAATATGTTAGAATCCATTTATTGAAATTCAAAATAAATCAGAAACAAAAACAACTTTTCTGTGCTGTAAAATTTTCATGCAAACTTTTTTAGCAGTAAAAATATTATTAAGTTTGCCTGGTAAAAATCATTTTCAGATTAAATAAAAAACGGTTCGCAAAACAAAATAAAAATTTTCATTTTTTTTTTATTTATGGCAGGATTAATATTTGATTATAGTTTTAAAAACAAAAAATTCTGGTTGCAAACTTTTAACATATTATCAAAAGGAAAACTAATCAGAAACTGCAGTAACTTGGATAGTGCTTTTTTTTTTAAAATAATAATAATAATAATAAATAACTAAAGATGTCAAAATAGAAAAACTACAAAAATGGCTATGGCTTTTTTAAATTTTTTTTTTATATTTTGCAATATTTTTATGAGTAAAATTAAAATAAAAATATTCATAATTCTCTCATTAAAAGATAAAGAATTTAAAATAGTTTTATTATAAAATTAATTAAATAAATTAATTATTATAAAATTAATTTGGCTTCATATTTATATAAAAAATGTAAAGCAGTTTAATTTATTTAGTAATTTATTGAAAAAAAGAAATCTCATAAAATATAACTTTAAATAGTTAAGCTAAAATAAATATATAATATAATTGAAATAAATATATAATATAGTTGAAATAAATATACAATATAGTTGAAATAAATATATAATATAGTTAAAATAAATATAATGCAGGTTAAATAAATATAATACATTCAAAATAAATATGATAAAAGTTGAAATAGTATTTTAAATTTTACCAAATACTCTAACGTTAACTTTATATCAAGAATTGATTTTATCCCAGCGCAAACAACAGCAACTGGAGTTCTACCCAGTTCTGTAAGATCTGAGCTTATATCCAAAGCTTAAAAATGATAAATAAAAAATTCATTTAGTTTTTTAAAACTATTAGATTTATGAAGAGTCATTTTTTTCTAAACAAAATGTTAAAACTTACTTTGAAAAACTTCTCTATGAACTCCGCCAATACCTCCTGTAACAAATACCTTTATTCCGGCTAGGTGTGAAGCAAACATTGTAGAAGATACTGTAGTCCCACCACTTAGCTTCTATATAAAATATAAAACAAAAACTCAGTTACAGTAATTTCTGTGTAAACTAACAGTTTATTTATGTATGCTTATTCATAATTAGTTTAATTAACTTTGATGATTATTATAATTTCATTAAAAGCGCAGTTGTGGTTGAAAGTCTTTTTGTTTACAAAATCAATCGTACAAATCCCTTTAAAAGGAATCACATTAACATAAAAAAACACATACATCAAATTACATTTAAAAAATATATACTTTTTATATTAAAAAACAATATAATACTACTAAAATCTATTGTATATAATAAACTTAACAAAACTTAGATAATTTAAAAAATATATATATTTAAAACTTCTATTTTTGTAAACAATTAATATAAGTTTAAAACATTTACGGCTTCGTAGATGTGGCTTGGTGAATGAGCAACAGTATTAAAATACTTGTTCATTTGATAACGCATTTTTATGACAATTTATGCTAGAAATCTCAACAAAAACTTTATACGATCTTTAAGACAGAATACCCTAGAACATTATTTTGCATAGTCAGTGTATTTTATGAACCAATAGAACTTGTTTATTTGTAGACTTGGCAGGTTTTTAGTGCTTGCAAATATTCTTTATTCTGCCCCAAGATGTTTTGAGAACATTCAAATTTTTGTATGTTTCCATGTATGTCCACAAAACAAAATTTTTAAAATACATTTAATGTTCTCAAACATCTAAAAAATGTGGCAAAGTTGGCGCAACAAAATGTTATTTTTGTGGTCAGTAATCTAGTGTGATCACACCTACTTCTCGAACAAGCCTGCATAACGTGAGGGTAAAAATATATGAAATCATCCAAAAAAAAAAATTTTTGACACCCTTATGTCTCAGAATTTGTATATTTTTACACCACTTGCAGTCCATATCAAAAAAATAATAACTGCAAAAATTTTAGTTGAAAATACCAATGAGTTCCAGAGATATCATCAGTTGAAATAATGCTGACTCAGCATTTTAGTGATTTTCTGAAGCAACTACAAAGCAACTTTGACATATAGTATCTTCATAATGGCTTGGGGAAATTTCCTAAAATTTGGTACTCTTATAGATTTTAACTTGAGGAATCCAAAAATAGCACTCTTAAGACTTGATTATCTCAAGAAATGCCTCATTTATCCAATTTTGTTCAAAATTATTGACTTGTAAGTTAGTGATTTTTGGAGGTAAAATAAAGACTGTGGCCCAAAATCCCGAGTAAAAATTTTAATTGTATATCATTATTTCATCTTAGGTCTACTGAAAAAAATTAGATTCATCAATTGTCTCTCTAATACGTGATCAAAATTTGCATTTAAAAATGGTGTCTTTTTAGACAAATTTAAATTTTGTAACAAAAGCAATTAAAATATTTTTTTAAACATTTATTTGAATAAAACACCAAATAGTGTTATTTATTGACTAGTTTAAATTTAAATAAACATTTAAAGTCATGGGCCAAGGGAGATGCCCTCCCTACCCACGGGAGGCCCCTCTGCCTCCTCCCCATATCTCCCTAGATTTTTTTTTTTTTTTTTTACATAAAATGAATAAATAATAGTTGATTGTTAAAATACATTTTAAAAACATATTTTTTCCGTTTAAGTTTGAGAAACGATTTATTTGCGTTACTTCAAATCAATAAATACCTTTTATTTCAAAGATCTTTTTATGATTTTAAGTCATAAATTTCAAAAACAAATGTTTTAAAATGTTTTTAAAACATAATGACAATAAATATCTTTATGTAGTTTTAGACTAATATAGTCATTGACATAATAAGATGGGAGTGATTTGTGATTTATTTAAACCCCCACCCCTCCTTCTCAACCCCCACCCCTCCTTCTCAACCCCTCCTACAATCCAAGGATTTGAAAAAAATAAAAGATATTTAATATGCAAATTAGGTAAATAAAATAAAAACAAAATTATTTTAAGCATAATTAATTTTTTTTTGTAACCAACAGTTTATATTCTCCAAATCTAAATCAGTTATGTTGTATGTACGACCTGATATTGTTGTGGGTGTAGAAATTAGGCATATAACTTCAGAATTGAGCACCCAACACTCATCAGTTCTCATTGGCCAAAAGAAGTTTTTACCTGGTCCATGTGGATGCATGAATCTGACTTTTATATCAAGCTCACTTACATCTTCAGCAATCCCTACCCACCAAAATCCATCATAAAAACATGCAATATAATCCATTTTTTTAATATTTAATGAAATATCTACATAATGTTCGCTTTTTGGAATGATATCAAATATTTCAGTGCATGCATCAATACTTATTTTTTTATAACTTATAGTGTTTGGAGCAATTGGAATAAAATGATGATACATCCTTGTGCCAGGAACTGTTCTTCCACCTAAATATCTTTTTTCTAATTGTGCTCGTGTTTGATCAATTTCTTCTTTTGAAAATAACTTAAAATAAATTCCATTTATCTTGGCTTTACAAAAGGAGTACATTAAATTAACATCTAAAATCTGCCCAGTAGTTATTTGTTTTAGACTTTCTTGACATACTACTCTTTTAACAGTCCCACCAATACTATCACAGGGGGATTTACCATAACTGGTAGCAAAAAATACCCATTCAGCATTTAAATCAAAGTCTTTACTGTGATGACAAAGATTGATAAAATTTTTAAAATTTTTAAATTGTGCTGCACAACCATCAGAAAAGTATTTCACACTTGATACATCAGGTAGATTTTCTTTGATATATCTAGTTATATCTTCCTGAGTCTTGTAAATAAATCCTGTGTCATGATCAACATCTTCTGAAAGGTAACAAAAAGATTTATGTTTGAGAAGTTTGTTCTCTATAAAATAAAGTACAACTGTATAAAGTGAGCATTGACTTTTGCTCCAGTGATAACTTTGAACCTCATCCTGAACAACATATTGATAGTTTTCAGCAAAATCTCCTAAAATTAAGCATTCGTTTTGGTTAAGATTTTCTTTACAGTTTTTTAAGTATCTACTTTGTGTTTTTGCAATATATGAATGAGTGTTAAGGTTGTCAATACTGTCACATAATAAATCAATAAATTCATCTAGTGGCAATGACTGTGAAAGTAGTGTTGTATGATCTGTACTCTGCCATTGCTTAAATACTACATCTTCTTCATGCTCATGGTCCATAAACTCCTGCACTAAAAAACTTTTTAACGCTTCAATACCAGGACATTGGTTACATCGATGCGACATACATTCTGCATTTTCAAGAGAGCAAACAATCAATGTCATGAAATCTTTATAACTTTTATTCCACCTAATGGCATCAATGAGAAATTTTGTATTTTGGTGATGTATGCAAACACATACATTGTGGGTACCTGACGCATTAGTTGTAATACACCTTATGGCGATAAGAGTCAGTCTCTGAAATTTTATTTTTTATTTCATACATTAAAATGTCTAGATCATGGTCATTGTTAATGTTGTTGTTTAAAATGGGGCTTTTTATTTCTGTTGTTAAAAAAATTTCTTTAATATTATATGCTAATGAGACCATTTTTGCAACTCTGTCAATAGTGTTCTCAAACTTTTGTTTTGCTACAGGCAATTTGCTGTGTTTTGAAAGACTTTTTAGTTTGACTGGTGAGATTCCAAGCAATTCTATAGTGGTATCTAACTTAATTTTTTTCTCACTTTTTGATTCCCATTCCTCCTGTGAATTTAAATCTTCATCAGTTTCTATTGCTTTTTTGTAACATTTACTGCAGAATTTCCAAACTGGGGTTACATAAACATTATTTTTTTGCAAATAGTTTGCCATGTCTATGGAAATCTTTATATTACCTAAAAAACAAATTTAGTTTTACGTTGTTAAAATAACTGAAATTATAAAACTTTTTATAAATATAAATTGTTTTCTTTTAATTTCCATATCAATTCTGTTGTAAATAAGGTAAGATTACCTTTTATAGCAATTTTTTTACTTTCCTTGTGTGTTCCAAAAGGATTGCAACACTTTGTAATTTTTCTCTCAAAATATTTTCCATAGAATTGCTCATGATAACAACATATAATTCTTATTGAACTATATTTTTCCTTTAAATTTGCTCGCCATATTATTTTTTCTTGTTTTTCACAAGGAAGATCTTTAAATTGAACAAAAGCTTGTTTTCTTGAAAATCCAGTTTTGTGGCAATGAATGTTAAGACTTTTTCCAATGTCACATTTCTCCATATTAATTATTTTTATTATTTATTACCTAACAAAATAATATAAAAACTATAAAATTAAAAGTAATTCTTTAAGAAAATACAAACAAGTAAATACCTTTAAAAAGAACAAAACAAAACTTATGTTTGTTTTTTATATAAAAGGAGGTTTTAAGTCACCAATTTGAAATAATAAAATTTTTTTTTTCAAAATTAAAATTAAATTGTATGTTTTTGCATTATTTATTCATTTTATGCAAAAAAAAAAAAAAAATCTAGGGAGATTGGGGGAGGGGGCATAGGGGCCTCCCGTGGGAGTGGAGGGTATCTCCCTTAGCCCATGACTATAAATGTCCTAAACTATTCAATAAATGACACTATTTGATGTTTTATTCAAATAAATGTTTTAAAAAATATTTTAATTGCTTTTGTTACAAAAATTAAATTTTTCTAAAAAGACACCATTTTTAAATGCAAATTTTGATCACGTATTAGAGAGACAATTGATGAATCTAATTTTTTTCAGTAGACCTAAGATGAAATAATGATATACAATTAAAATTTTTACTCAGGATTTTGGGCCACAGTCTTTATTTTACCTCCAAAAATCACTAACTTACAAGTCAATAATTTTGAACAAAATTGGATAAATGAGGCATTTCTTGAGATAATCAAGTCTTAAGAGTGCTATTTTTGGATTCCTCAAGTTAAAATCTATAAGAGTACCAAATTTTAGGAAATTTCCCCAAGCCATTATGAAGATACTATATGTCAAAGTTGCTTTGTAGTTGCTTCAGAAAATCACTAAAATGCTGAGTCAGCATTATTTCAAGTGACAATATCTATGGAACCCATTGGTATTTTTAACTAAAATTTTCACAGTTATTATTTTTTTGATATGGACTGCAAGTGGTGTAAAAATAAACAAATTCTGAGACGTAAGGGTGTCATGGTCTGGATGATTTCATATATTTTTACCCGCAATGCAAATAAAAATACCAAGTCATTTTTAACGCTACTTTATAAATGTATCAAGAGTTTTCTTACAACAAATATAACATATCATAACCGCTAAAATTAAAAAAATATTCATTAATAAAAATATTCTCTTTTATAATTTTATAACCATTAAATATGAAAATATAATTTTATAATTTTTTAAAGTGAAAACACACACTTAAAAAAATTTGTTAAAGACATAAAACGTGTTTTTTTTTTGATAACTCGCCCGCCAATTATTTTTTTCAAATAATTGGCGGGCGACCATATAACTATATTCTAAGTCACCCGCGGGACAACTGACCAAAATCTAAGTGTACATCAATGCTTATCTATATTCATGCACAAACTTTTCCTAGAAGCGAGTGCGGACGCTCGCCTTGTTTGTCCACATTTAAAGTTATTTTTTTAAAGAAATTGACCATGGCAGTTTGCATCTTCTAATTCATAAAGCAATTCAATAATTCGTGGCAAAAAGCTACTAATCTACTAAGAAAAGTAAAAAAATCCTAAAAAAAGGAAACAAAATTTTAACGAAATACCAAGTTTAATTAAATTAACTAGAAAATTTAATAACTAAAAACAGTGAATAAATATAAAATTTTTTTCATAAAATTTTTACAACATTTGTATTCTTTTTTTAGAGTCTGTTGAAAAAAATATATATTTTATAACAATTTAATAACAATTAAAAGTTTTTATATGCAATTTATTCACAATATATAAAAGAAACTTATTTTCTATGTACACTAGAACATAACAAATTTATAAAAGTTTATAAGCAAAAAGATGTACCGTTTTGTACGCCTTTTTTCTTATAAAAATGTTTTTGCTATTTTGACGTTTTTCTTTCAATACTTATATAATAGGAAAATAAAAAAATAAATTGTTATTCATTTGCAAAATATATTATTTGATTAATAATTTTTGTAATGACAGAATAAGTTAAATAATATTAACAATAACAATAACAAGTTAAATAAAATAAGAATAACATGTTTTTTTTAATAAATGTATTTGCCGCATTTGATGCATGTCAAAAATTGTTTCTTTTATAATGCCCAATTTCCAATGCTAATACAAATTAGTAGAGAAAATGAACATAACGATTGCTCTGTTTAAAAAAAATGTATTTAAAAACTTAAAAAAAAAAGTTTTAAATAGGCTTCTAAACATTTTGTTAAAAAAGTTCAATGCACTAACTCACAAGCTTTTGGAGCATCATCAATAACAATAGTTCATCAGGAAATAAACTATCTGGTTTAAATGCACAATTTGGATTATCCAACAAAAGTGCAGACTATTTCAATGGGGATGTTGAAAACAACCAAACATTTTATATTTATATATTAGTATTAATGACTTTTTATTTTTTTACATGAAAAAGTTGTTTAAATTTTTTTTTTTTTTCAAATAAATAGCAATTAGTTTTCTTGCTTTCCTGTGCATTAAATGAAAACAGTAAAGTTTAGCAAAAACAAAAATGAAAACGGTAAAGTTTTTTAAAAACAAATTTAAAAATTGTCCATGTTTCCAGCGAAAGCAAATAATAAAGTATTTCCTTAATATACTGACTGAAAAAAGTTGCAAAAAATTTGTATATCAAAAAATACTTTTGATTTTTGTTATATTCTTATCAACCTTTTTCCTCAAATCAATTTTGGTAGTGGAAAATAACAAATGGCCTAAAAATAAGAAAACAAATATAGTAAAATATTTAGGTATATTATTTTTTTGAGAACAATTTTCTTTTCTTAATATTCTATTTTTTTAGCTCATTTCATTTAGACTTTCTATTTCGTTTAGTCTTTAAGTATGGAAAAATAATGTGTGCGACCACATGCGCTTTCCGAGAAGTCTTGCATGCACATTTATATTATTTTTTGTAATTATTTTTATTTATACTGTATGAATTAATTAGGTCTATTAATGAACAAAGTATTTTAGTTATACTATTATTAAATTAATCATTTTTAAGTGCTTGATGAGTACATAAAATATTATATCTTATTTCTTCTTGGAATTTCTTGAGGACAAATTTCTCAATCCAAAAATCCTGGGACTGAAAATATCCTTGATTTTTGCCATCCCTATTGCCAACAATGAGGTTGTTAAATCAAAGGTTTGTAAATAAACTGCAACTTGTAGATTTATTTTACAAGTAGTGTTTTCAAAGCCATTAAAAATTTTATGAGTAAATTTGAATGAAAAGTTAAATCACATTCAAGTTTTACCTATCACAATTCAAGTGAATTATAATTTTATTTTGCAAACTAAAAGCTTCAAGTAATTTGATGTAATAAAAGTTTTTTATTACATCAAATTACTTAAAAGCAAACTTTAATTTAACTAAAAAAGTAAAAGTATGAAGAGGAACTGTACATACAGCCTGTCACCGGAACTGCTTTACAATACTGCTGCTGTTAAGTGAGTGGGCTACTTAATTTAATTAAGTAATTAAACTTTGAATCAACTTGTTAAAGGTTTGCACCTCTTCATTTATTAGTGATCTCTGTATTGAATCATTGGTACTATTTGTACTAATAATCATATTGTATTGAACTGTATTGAACTCTCTATTGAACCATTGGAACTATTGGTACTAATGATCATAATGTAATCATATTCACTCCTAATTTGAGCTGCTTATATAATAAAGATGAAATTTCAGTTCAACAGTTCTACTGTTGAAAAAATGCACCAAGCTATCAATAAATATCTGAAATCGATAAATTAGAGTATTATCTTTCAAACATGTTTTAATATTGAAGCTTGTTGGCATACTTTTTCTAGTATACTAAATAACATTATTATACAACATGTATCTAAAGTGTGAGTCAGTGAAGAGCATAAATCATCACATAAAATACACTATTCTCATTATGTTAAAAGGTTGATAAACAACAAACTAATTGTATAAATTGATAAATTATTTCTTACTCAATAACCTAATCACAAAAGAGCAGCATAGTTTTATTCATAAATGTAGTACCTGTACTAATATTACCCGCTTATGGAATAGTTGGCAATCTTCTGAATTGGCTAACTAATTTCTGTACATGAGATCACATGTGGTAAATTTCAACAATGTTACTTCCCAAGCTATATCTGTAATAGTGTTCCACAGGGGAGCGCTCTAGGACCAATTCTATTTTTATTGTTTATCAATGATGTGAGCCACATTAATAAAGAGCTTGATTTCAAACTTAAATTTTTGCTGATATTAAATTATATTCAGTTTATGATGTACGTGGCCCTCAGTCAGATCTTCACACAACTGTTAATCGTTTTTACAAATGGAGTTGTACTTGAAAACTCCAAATAGCAAATCCTTTGTTTGTAAAATTGGTAATCAGAGTCAAAACATAACCGATTTTGTTTATACCATAAATAACCATGAACTTGCTCATGGTAACTGTATGAGATTTTGGAGTTACCATTGATAGGAATCATAAATTTAATCAACATATCAATCTTATCATACATAAAGCTATGTCAAGAACCTATCTTATTCTAAAATCTTTTTATTCACGAGATAGATCGCTGATGGTTAAAGCCTACTGTACTTATGTACGACCTATGCTTGAATATTGTTTACAGTATGGTCACCTTAGACTATATGCCTGATTAATAAAATTGAAAAGTTGCAGCGTTTCTTTATTAAAAGAATTACTGGTCTGTGGTCGGTTTTCTATGATAAACGCCCAACCATACTAAAGCTCAATATGTTAGAATATTGACGAATGTTTAAAGATTTAGTTTTATGCAACAAAATTTTAATTTTAAACTGGACACTGACCTACCAAATGTTCTTATTCTCAATTCTTACTTGGGTAATAATGGTCATAACTTTAAACTGTACAAACACCATTGTAATTTAAACAGCACCAAGTGTTTTTTTTCTAATCCAATTGTTAATGTATGGAATAGTTAATCGGAGAATTTGGTATCTGCATCATCTGTCTCGATGTTTAAGAACTGCTTCGCCGTACTGCTTTGTTCAACTTGATACAATTTTGTTCAAACTTGTTCCATCACTTAATACAATTTAACATTTCAGTAAAAAAAATTTAATCTATACTTTAGTATTAGTGGCCTTCGGGCCCTTCTGTTATTTTCAAAT